CCCAGGCTGGCCCGGCTGCCCCGCCCTGGGCGTCGAGGGGCCGCTGGGGGCCGCTTACCGGATGGGCTTCCCCCGAAGCTCAGCCATGATGACGCTCTCACCCCCCAGGTATTGGAAACAGAGGCTCAGGAAGCTGTAAATGACAAAGGCTGCAGAGCAGAGGGGAGGGGGTGGCAGTGAGCCGGGGGTCCACGAGGGTGCCCGGCCTGCGTGACGCCCTCCCCCGCCCCCGACCACACAGACCTCCTTGGCGCCGATTTCCCGGAGGACAAGCTGGGTTTCAGGCCACACGCCGGGACCCTCTCCCACCAAGGGCTCCCAGCTGGGGTCTGGGAGCAGGTGCCATCCCCGGTGTGGGTGGGGCCTGCACCAGCCACGATGGTTCTGATCGCCCCCACCCCTTTGCTGGCCGGTTCTCCCCGCCGGGGCTCTGGGCAAGCCCAGCAGCAGCCCCCACACCCTCCTTGGGAGCCGGGGGTCTAGTATTCCATGCCTGCGAGCCCCTCCTTGGCAGGCAGCCCCTCCCCTCGGGGCATCACAGACCTAGACTCAGGCCAGGAGGATGGGGTGCCCTGGGGAGCCCCTCGCTCGGCCCAGCCTCGGGCCTCTCCGGGACCCACTCGGGACCTAGGCACTCACCTTCATAGCAGTCCCGCACAGAGTCGAAGTAGACATAGTGCTGGTGGCCCCCCAGCAGCAGGAGGCTGAGCCAGGAGTCGAAGGCGTAGATGGGGACGATGAAGAGCAGGCGGACGATGTAGCGTTGCTCGTTGGGGACCGTGTAGGAGCGCAGGTGCAGGTAGATCTGGGCGCGGAGCACGGCAGGCTTGGCGGGCGGACGGCAGCCCGCCCGTGAGCCTCCCTGCGCCCGGTCCAGCTGGTCCTCTGCCGTGGGAGCAGGCGCTCGCCCCCGCGCTCACTCGCTCACCGTCCCCTCGCCCGCCTCGTTCACCGTCCCCTCGTCCGCCTCGCTCACGGTCCTCTCGCTCACTCGTCCCCTCGTCCACCTCACTCACTGTCCCCTCGTCCACCTCATTCACTGTTCATTTGACGAGAATGTCCCAGCCATGACCCCGCCTGGGGGAAAGCAGTTTGTCACTCAGACGTGGGGGCAGTGAGAGGGCTGATACGGTCTGACCCCTTTGTCCCGTGGACGTGGATGGCTTCATTGACAAACAAAGATGGGATGTTCACCGCAGGGACACCCCGGAGACCAGCAGTGGGCCGGGTGGTGACTGCGACACAGGCTGCCCCACCGCCGTTGACCGTGGCGTCCCAGACGCCAACATGGGGAAGTGCTCTGATGGAATTCCTCACATCGGGATGACAAACCGGGTGGGACCCCCGGTGTGAAAAAGCAGGTCAAAATGGAGGCAAAGACATCCCTGAATCATCCCTGACTCATCCCTGACTCATCCCTGGAAACAGGAAAAGATGGCTGCCCATCACCTTCATCTGTCAACCTTCCTGGACCTTCCCTACTTCCTACGAGGACATGAACGAACAGTGACAGGGTCTTTGAGAGGAAGAGGCCCAGGGAGCCAGGCAAACAGGCGGCTGTGGTCCCAAGCACCTCTGGAAGGCTTCCTGGAGGGGGTGCCATGAGCAGAGGTGGAGAGAGGGCAGGCAAAGGGCAGGCTGTGTGCAGAGGCACAGCACAGGGAGTGGCGGAGCAGGCTGGGTCAGAAGCCTGCTCCTTATCAGCGCCTCCCTCCCCAGCTGGTGTGGCAGGAAGTGCACGGCCTGAGCAGTAACGGGGGCGACTTCTGCTCCTGGTGCTGCACTGCCTGGCTAGGTGGCCTTGGCAAGCCGCTGTCCTGTCTGGCCTCAGTTCCCTATCTTTAAGTGAGGGGCTGAGTCCCTCTCTGCTTGGGTTCTGAATGGGTGGAGAGTGTGGGACTCCTCAGGCCATGGAGATCCTGGCTGGGGGTGGGGTGGGGGGCAGGGTAGAAGCGAGGCAGGGCCTGGGACCTGCACCCACAGGGTCTCCGTCAGCTCCGTCCGAGCTGTGGGGCCCTAGGACCCCGGGATACAGACACATGCACACAGCTGGTCCCCATAATTACAGACGCTCAGGGCTGGACAGAAGGGAAGCCGAGGCCCAGACTGCGGCTGGGACTGGGACCGCCTGGAGGCAGGACTCCGGGTGTCTGTGCCCCTCGCTGCCTCTTGTCCTATAAATCACAGCCTCTGCCATACCTTAAGTCATTCTGCCACCAGGGAGCAAGGCATGGCCTCTGTGCAAATGCAGACACACCACCTGCCTGTCCAGTCTACCTGTCCGCATGCTCCAGGACAGCTTGGTAAGACTTAGGGCAAATATTGCCTCCTCTAGGAAGTCCTCCTTGATGATCCCAACAGGAAGGGACTGCCTCCACCCACTGCTCTAGCTGCACCTTACTCAGCCTGGGCCACCCTAATACACTTGTCTACACCTTATATTCTGGATATCTGAGGCCACACCTGGACTCAGGCCACATGGTGGGCAGCTCTCACTGAGAGGGGCATCCGCCCCCACCGCCCAGCCTTGGATGCCTCTAGCCACCCACTTCCCCACCAGCCAGGCTCCTGACCACCCCCGCCCCAGGCTCACTCCGCCAATCCACTCCCAACACCAGGGACTGCTGAGCTGTCCTGCAGGGCAGGCCTGCCCCCTGCTCCTCGACAACAGCCCCCCTGGCTCCCTAGCACTCTGGGCTGAACGCCAAACTCCTGCACAATGATCTAGGTCCCATTTATGGGTCCTGAGTGCCTCCAGTCCAGGTGGCCCTCCCTCCCAGCCTTGCTCATGCCTCTCCGGGTACTCCCTGGGTCAGCCTGCTGTCTGAGAGTCTCAGGACCCTATGCCCAGCCCTGCGTTCTGGCTGCCTGCTCTGGGGCTCCCTGCTCATCTGGGGGGCTACTTGTCTCCTCTGCTTCCCCTGGAGCCCTGTCCACTCCAGCCAAGCTCTGACCTTATTCCTGGCTCCTGGCTACTGGCTGCTGGCTCACTCCCTACAGAGCCAGGTCCCAGCCCTCACCAGCTTCCCAGAAATCTGCACCTCTTGAAGGGAGGGACCTTTCCCCTCCCAGTTACGTGAGCCTGGAAAGTCCCCTGCTTCTCCTAGCCTCAGTCTTCTTGTCTGTGAAACGGGACAATCTGCTGACCTCAGCGAACAGGCTGAGGGGCTGACAAAATGCCCCAGCCTGTGCCCGACCAGAGCTCTTCCCTCTGCCTGGCAGAGACTGCCCACCTTCAGTCCCGGCCCCCACTCCCCTGCCCCTGCGCCTGGCATGGTACAGCCTCTGCAAGCCCCTGGGCACTGTTCCTCCGGCCAACCTGGTCTCTGAGGTCTGCCCTGAGGCCATCACCTGCGGTCCCACCACCTGAGCTGGGCCAGCCGGGCTGGGCTGAGCTGTGGCTCCCAGAGAGCAGGGCCCCAGGGAGGTGCAGAGGGGAGGGCTTACCTGGTGGCAGGTGAGCAGCAAGGCGGTCCACACGAAGATGCCCGAGATGCCGCGGGCCAGCGGGGTGGTGAGGAAGAGCTGGGAGGCAGCCTGGGAGCCGTTCCCCATGTGGTCCATCTGCTGCCCGGGGGGTATGGCTCGGGGGAGGCTGAGCTGCGGCCAGGTTGCCGACACCAGCGGGGTTCCCGGGGGCCCTGAGGCATTAGTCATCTGCAGAAGCAGGGAAGACAGAGACAGGGAGGACTGAGGGCAAAGGTACACCCAGGCGCTGGAAGCAGCCCCAGTGCCAGCAACGGGGAGGGGACTAGGGGGAGGGGGCTGAGCTGAGCCGGCCGTGCTGGGTTTCGGTCACCGTCCCTTCCGTGGGAGTCCCCCTCTGGCCCTCCAGCCCACTTTCCCTGACTCTGGGCAGCCCTCCAGGTGCAAGGACCCAACTGTGAGGCCCGGGCCCGGGGCTCAGTCACCTGGGCAAGGACACCGGCTGCCTGACTGTGACCTAGGCTGGTCCCTATCTCTGGCATCTTGGGCTGTCGGGGAGCCCTCATGTAGGGACCAAAGACATCTGAGAAAGTCGGGGAGCCCACGCTGCCCTGCCTGCTCGGGGTGGAGTCTGGGAAGCCGGCCAGGCTGGCAAGGTCCACAGCAGCGGGGGAGGTGGGGGAGGGCAGACCGGCACACACCGGACCTGCCTGACTGACTGTCGGGGCGCCCAGCTCGGCCGGGCCCTGGGCCACCCCAGCCCGCTCGCTCGCCCTGGGTGCCTGGTCTTCAGCTGCGTGCCAACCTGCTGGGGCACCGGGCACCTCCCTCCTCCCACACCCAAGGCCTCCACCACTCCCTCCAGACTTGGTCACAGGGCCCAGCGCCTACCTCTCAGGCAGGAAGCTCCTGGGTAGGCCCTGGTAGGCCCGGCCTCCAGAGAAGCCTAGCTGGTCATTGGCGTGGCCACGTGGGCCCCACTGTTGGCCCCAGTGGGGGGTGGGGCCAGGCTACTTTCTGTGCCAGGCCTGGGGAGGGATGGCCACCATCTCACCTCCCCGGTGGCCCACCTGAGTGCTTGGCCGCAGGGAGGGGCGGAGGCCGAGGGGGAGGAGCGGAGGGCTGCCCCTCCCCCGTCGACACTGGATCCCTCCCCAGGCTGCGTGCTGGGTGGCAGCTGGCTCCCAGAAACCTGCTGGCCACTGGGTGCCCTCACCGGCCTGCACCAGAAGGCCAGGCAGCAGCGGCCTGGCCCTGAGGCAGGTGGGAGGGGTCTGCAGTGAGCCAGAGTGGGCTGTGCCTCCACAGGGGGCACAGGTTCCATTTAGGGTGCTGGAAAGTTCTGGAAGGAGACAGAAGTGGCAGTTGCACAACATTGTGTGGGTATTAAATGACACTTACAAATGGGTACCTTCACTAGGAGAGTGTCACCTCCATTTAAAAAGCCCCAGTCCCCAAGAGCTGCACTGGAAACATGTCTGTTTTTTTGCCGGGGGTGTGGGTGAATGACAGGCCACTGGTCCTGCTTCGGGGCTCAGCTCACCTGTCCCATGGTCAGCCCTGTGCCAATTTTTTTTTCTTCAAATTAAATGCATTTAATTACAATGCTAGCCCGCATTCACACTATGGACGATCTCTCCGCAGTCCCTACCCTGCAGTGGTGACCCTCGGCCCGCGGCCACCGCAGAGGTCAGCTCAGGTGGCCAAGGCCCTGGGAAGAGGCTCGCCCACCAGGGCTCCTGGAGGGGGCGCGGGAGTGGGGGCCTCGGCCGGCTCTTGGCTCCACTCCCAACACAAACGGGCATGTGCCTCTGTGGCCACCAGGACGCAGTGCCTGCCCTGCACCCATCAGGGGCCCACACATACCCTGTCCTTCTTGATGCCCGACCCTCCCCATGGCCCTAAGTCACAGGGTCAAGACCCCTTTTAGGGGTGGGAGTCGGGAGCTCAGAGAGGCTCATCCATGTGTCCAGGGTCCCCCAGGGGTCCAGGGGGAGGCTGTCTACGGGGACACCCACCCTGATCCCCCTCCCCTCCGTCCACAGCTGGGGAGTCCCTCAGACACGCCCTGAAGTCGTGATCCTGACTCTCACATAAAGCCCCGGGGCCCTGTCCCCAACTTCCTGCTGCCCTGTACGTCCTCCTCCAAGCTCTGCCAGGAGCCCTCTGTGCCAACTCTCCCCCTTGTCCCGCCTTCTCGGATGTCACCTCCCCTCTCCCATCACCGCTTCAAATCCCGGAGGACCATCGGGAACCTGGTGCCTTGCCCAGCCCAGACCCGGGGCGCAGGGAGTGAGCGTGCACGTGGGCGTCCACTCGGCCCGGCAGGTGTGGCCAATGTGCTCTAAATTGTCTCCAGCCAACGCGAGTTCCCACGAGCCCTGTGCTCCCCCCGAGCCCCACCTGCCCACAGCGCCAGAGCCCAGCCGGCACCGAGACCTGCAGGTGTGGGCCCGGACCCTCCTGGCCCCTTCTCCTCTCTGGCTTCCTGACCGGGTCGCTCCAGAGGCAGCCTCGGTACTCAGCTGTCCATCCGGCCCATGGTCTCGGCCACCCTGGCAGGCCCCTTCCCCTCTCTGGGCCCCTGCTTTCACGTCTGTAAAGGTGAGTTTGGGGCCTCCAGCCCTCCCCAGGGTATGGCATGCAGGGCCCTGCCGTCCCCGGGGGTCTGAGACAACCCGCACTTGCCTTGTCCGGAGCTCAGGGGAAGGCTCCCGGCCGCAGGGCCCTCCCAGGGCCCAGACCCCGCCGCAGGCCACATACCAGGCGTGGCCCGTGAGCGAGCAGGGCGCCGTGGGTGGGCAAGGTGCTGCTTCTCCAGGCAGAGGAAGGGGGCTGGGCCGTGCCGAACCCGTGCCCAATGGACAAAGGGTCCTGGGTCTGGGGACACAAGGGGCCCAGCAGTCCAGTCCTGGGAAGGGCCAGGGAGACACTGACCCCTCGGCCACCCATGGGACTCTCTGGCCCAGTGAGGCCCCACCCCTGGCGGCTGCTGTCACACTCAGGGGAGGCGGCCAGGCTGGCCAGGCCTGATTTCCCTTCCTGGGGCTGGACGCTGATCAAGCCTGTCACAGGACAGACCTGCCCGCCTGGATGCAGGCAGCTGAGGCCTCTGACCACTGTTTTCTGTGACCAGGTGTCAGGGCTCCTGGCAGCTCCTGGTCAGACCGTGGGGTGGCCGAGAATCCACAGGCCAGTCCCAGACCTCAACGCCCCATCCCAACACCTCCCTTTCACCCCAGTGACCTGATGCCCGGGGCTCTTGGCCTTGGGGCAGCATGAACCTCCCTGCAGGCTCCCCTGCCGTGCCAGGCCTGCCACCTGGGGACGCCTCTGACGGCACGTGGCTGCTTTCCCACAGGGGACAGACTCTCCCTTTCCTCCTTCCCCTCCCCAGGCCCTTTCAGCAGCTGAGAGCTGCCCACTCTGGGCTGGCAGAGACAGGGCTGGGGGACAGGGTGGTAGGTGTGTCCTGACACCTCAGTGCCCCGGGCCGGCCCACCAGCATCCTTTGGCTCTACCCCTGGGGCCCTCACCTGCTGGTGCCCAGGGAGTAGGGGACAGGATCTGCCCCTGGGTGGCTGCGGTGGCCCATACGATGGCCACTAACTCAACTCTACCCACTGCGGCCTGAGCTGGGATGACTGGACAGGCCCCCTCCCACTCTACCCTTCAGGCTGTGGATGGTGACTCCCGGCCTGGAACCCACCAGCCTGGGGACCCTGAGCTGCCCCTTCCCTTCCTCTGGGCCTCGGGGGGCGGTCGACGGAAGGACCCTTCCACTCCGGTTTGGAGAGTCCTCGCACGGGGGCAGGAGGGAACATTCTGCCTCCTGGAGGCCGAGGTGCCGGCTCCCCACTAGGCCAGGACACTGGGCCCCAAAGCCAGGAGGAGCAGGGCCCTGGGTCAGACACGTGGGTTGGGCTCCTGGCCTGGCCCTTCACCGCGTCTGTGACTTTGGACAAACCATGCGCCTGAGTCTCAGTTTCCACCGGGGACTGAACAGCCATGGGCAACAGGTCCGCGCTGGTCGGAGCGGGGACTCGGCGGGCAAGGGGGTGCCCGTTCTTCTCAAAGGCGGC